TTTAAAAACCGGAATGTCCAACTGATAAAGCTGAAAATTTTTTCACTTGTTATTTACAGTAAGATAAATACATTCACCAACTTTTATTGAAATAAAACCATTTAAACTGGGTGTTCGGATTTATATGTCACTTAGTATATTCTGTCTAGAGTTCGTATAGTTGAGGTGCATATTATCTTTTGGTGTCTATATTTGTGCCGGTGCCGTAAACATGACATCATGATGGAACTCAGAGTGACAAGCTGATGTCTGCCGGTGAACTGTAGAAAAGAAGACCAGCAGCGACGTCCTCTGACGAGAGACCAGGAAGTTATCACTATTTGGGGGCGCCATAATCTAGTACAATTTAATGTTTTCAAAGCACAGTACTGTACCTTGATGAACAAGAAGCGTTCTAGCATTTATCCTGTTTCGATGGTTGACCGAGCTCTACCAAAGAGCCGTTCATTTCGGTTGATTGGAGGCCAGATCACCGAGGACTTGATCTGGCACAAACACATCTCAACAGTGGCAGCTGCTGGGAAAAGTCTAGGCTAGTTGTTTAAGGCTAAGAAGTACTCCTCACTCTGTACAAAGTCTTCCACAGTTCTTTTTTTTTCTTCAAAATCTTCGTTATTTTCCAAGGCTCTATTTCGTTCAGGGTTTCTCGGATCCTAACGAATCCTGGATTTTCTCGACTAATATTGATCCAACGAGCTCTCGAAATTTGAAGCTTGGATGTATTGATTGAACTTTCAGAAGCAACTTTAAAATCGAAACAGTCCTCACGATTCATGATTGTAACAACAAATGGTGCTTTTTTCACTGCTGCTATCATCGCAAGGGGGTGAAAAAAGGGCTCCGACATCAAACTCACTAATAGAGGCCGATTTCTATTAAGCTGCGTATGAAACTACAGCAGACGCTCGATAATGTAAACTAATTTAATCCAAGTGTGGTTCACATTATCGAAATGTTTACATTAGCGAACGTGATTTATATAATATTTGATTTATTAAAAGAAACGTTTAATACATACTATTTATAACAAAATAAACAAATATTCTAACAGCGATAAGTATTTTTTTAATTAGAAGAAAAATAATTCACAATTTTTGTCTGCGTAAATTTGCGCTTAGCATTGTCTTCCAATGACTGCGCCCGTAATTTACGAAGAACTAAAATATCGGTGTATGAAACTTCTTTTCTTTCAGCCCAATCTAAAGCTTGGTTAAACACTTGTATAGCTTGCGCGTCAGTCACTACACTTCTGACTTCAATGGGATCGTTCTCATCATCCTCACTGTCCATATCCTCCTCCTTATCAGCATCATTCGTCTGCTTATCTTCTTTCAATAAATTAATATCGGCAGGAGTACAAACAATGTTGGGATTCACTGTTTTCAATAAATCAACAACATCCAATGACACACTAATAACATTATCATTATTGGATCGCAAACGTTCTCTAATTACGTTTAAGGGGACTTCGTCTTCTTCATCATCGGTACAAAAGGGATTGTTCCAACATTTTTGAATAGTTTGCTGGTTAAGTTCCTTCCAGGCCATATGTAAATCTAAAACAGCTTCTCGTAATGTTACTTTTTTAAAGCCTCAGATAAGTTTTCAGGATTCTTTGATAAGACAGACGAAAGTAGAAACTTCCTATAGTATAGTTTGGTGAGTCTTATTATATTCTGGTCCATCGGTTGAATTAACGGTGTTACGTTGGGCGGCATGTACATGACGAAAATTGACCCATCCCTGCTCCTCAGTTGTTGCTCGGGAGGATGACTTGGTGCATTATCCAATAGTAACAACGCTTTTATTGGAACCTTCTGTTAATTTAGGAAACCTTTTACCTACAAATTGAAAACACATCTTCAAATTGTGATAATTGATTGTCATACCTGAGGGACAAAGCACCTGTGGAACCATTTCAGGAATATACTGCTAGTCATCCAAGCGGTTTTTGAACAGTAATAGTCAACAGGGATATTAACATTTTTAAATGAGCGGGGATTTTTTGCTTTCCCAATTACCAGTGGCTTTATTTTGTGTGAACCATTAGCATTAGTGCAGGCTAGAAACGTTATTCGTTGTTTCTCCGGCTTTCTTCCCGGGGCAGATTTTTCAAATGATGCAGCATAGGTTTTCTCTGGTAACATTTTCCAATAAAGGCCACTTTCATCTGCGTTGTAAATTTGTTCCATTCTTAAATCTAGCTCGGTAATTGTTTTCATCAATTTTTCTTTGAATGGTTGCACTAATTGTGGTTGTGCTGATAATTTTCCACCAGATATAGACAGCAGTCGAATTCCATATCTTGTTTTGAATCGTTGTAGCCAGCCATCACTAGCTACGAAATTTTCAGTTTCTTTCAGTTTTTCATTTAACAGTCTCGCTCTCTGTTTAAGTACTTCGCCACTAACTGGAACATGATTTTCCCGTTGTTTTAAAAACCACTTATACCGGGAATTTTCCATTTTAGGTGCCTTCGCATTTTTTAAAGTTTTTCTTTTTCCCGGACCTCCAAATGTATTGCACGTTCTTTGTAAAATTTGAGTTTTCATACGCTTAATTTAGAGATTGTTGCTTTCGATACTCCATATTTTTTTGCTAACTGTGTCACTCCCGCACCTAGTGCAACTTCGTCTATGATTTTCACTTTCTCACTCAACTTTAAACACTTTCTTTTATAGGATGTGGATGCCATAGTCGTAAAATATATTAACGCGTGCATGGTATTCACTTAAGTTCAAAAATGAAATACATACGTACGTAGTAAACGTATCCTAAACGATCATACGACTGACCAAGTTTGTCGTATTTTATCGCAGAGGTGAATCCCCTACACTCTACATCATAAATCGGGGACTCCCCGACGCCCGACATAAATCATCGAGGCTTCAGTATTTTACCGTCGCGCTGTGTCCGTGCGCCGAGAGTTGTTTACGTTATCGAGCGTAGACATTGTTTACGTTATCGCGCGTTCCGTTTGATCCTATAGAACGGAGTTTGTGTTTACATTAGCGCAAGTTTTCATTATCCCGTGTTTACGTTATCGAGCGTCTGCTATATTTCACAAAATCGGGTAGTGAACCGCTGAATTCCTATACGAAAGCATCGGAAATAGCACCAAGTCACCTCCAGCTCCCGTATTTACGGTCGACAGATAAAATAAAAAAAGACCTTTAACGAGATGGAGAGTAGAGTATGATTTTCTACCACAAACTGCTATAAAATTATTATTCTGAATAAGAAAAATGTTGTGATAATTTACATTATCAGGGATAGTTAATTTTTAGTCAACCATAAAAAGAAACTGTGGCAACGTGATAAACAATAACAAGCACACAAGTCAGAAAACAGCGTAGAAACTGCCACCTGTAGCACAGAAAACTATTAATAAAATATGAAAAGATTTATTGGCGCTTAGGACATTTTTTACCGGCGGCGTTATGGCGATTGACATGCGCGCGCTCTGTTGGGTTTTTTTCAGTACAATATGGGGTTGACAAAACGGACGCAGGAAAGTAAACGCATATTAAAACAAGAAAGATTGATATTCAAATCAAGTTGGGTACTTTATTTCGAAGGTTCATTTATACCATTTATGTATGAAAAATAATATCGCTCAAATGTTCACCACGACCGGATTTACAGACGTCAACGCGATGGTCGAAATTTTCAATGACATTTTGCAACATGGTCGGTTCTATGGCATTTATCTCGGCAATGATGTTGTTTTTGAGTTCTTGAAGGGTGGCTGGTTTGTTGACGTAGACTTTGCTTTTCAAATATCCCCATAAAAAGAAGTCCAAGGGAGTCAAATCGCACGATCTTGGTGGCCATGGCACATTTCCTCTGCGCGAAATCACGCGATCACCGAAGAAGGACTGCAATCGATGGATATTGCCGTTGGTTGTGTGGCATGTTGCACCGTCTTGTTGGAAATAAATATCGTCCATATCCATTCCTGCAAGTTGCGGCAAAAAATAGTCCTCTATCATCACGTGATATCGCTCAGAATTGACGGTAACGGCGTCCCCGGCCGCATTTTCGAAAAAGTAATGTCCGATGATGCCTCTTGACCACAATGCACACCACACAGTCACTTTTTGAGGATGCATCGGCTACTCTTGATACTCACGGGGATTTTCGTTCGCCCAGATGTGGCAGTTTTGCTTGTTTACCGTCCCATTCAAAGTGAAATGCGCTTCGTCGCTGAACATGATTTTTGATGAAAAATTGGCATCCATTTGGCGGTGTTCAAGGAGCCAATCTGAGAACGTTCGGCGCGAAAAATGGTCGGCCCGACGCAGCTCTTGCGTCAATTGGATCTTGTAGGCGTGTACATTTAAATCCTTATGGAGAATGCGGAGCAAACTGGTTCTCGAAATGCCCAATTCTTGGGATCGACGCGTTGTTGATTGTTTCGGATCGTCTCTCACACTCTCCTTCACAAAAGCAATATTTTCCGGTGTGCGAACGCTCCTTGGCCGGCCAGAGTCTGGCAGATTTGCCACAGAACCTGTTGCCTCGAATTTACGCACCAGACGACCGAGGTTGTTTCGTTTGGGCGGTTGTTGCGACCGAAATGTTCACGAAGCGCGCGAAACGTGTTTTTTTATTTTTGCACCATTTTTGTAGTGCTCTTGAATAACTTTAATGCGGTCTTCAATCGAATACGACTCCATAGCGATCAATGGTAAACATTCAACTAACAAAATGACATGTCGGTGACAGAAAACAAAGATGGCGTCTATGTCAAATTGACGTTTACTTTCCTGCGTCAGACAACCTTTAATAGCCATGGCACTTAGCGCTTTATCTATGTTGTTGGTTATGGCACCTAGAACATTTTACAAGTATAAAATGAAAAACCGATTTTTTGGCACTTAGCTCATTGTTTACTTCAAGTCTTCAAAAAAAAAAAAACTGGCCAACTAGTTCAAAAATTAACTCAATTTTAATTTGTTCTTGCAATAAAAGCAATAGATGTCTATTTTCTATTCCAGGAGCAATAGATTCTACAGTATACACTGCAGGTCCTCGAGGCTATAGACCTCGAGGTAAGAATGTGGTTCGGAAATATGACCTCAGTCAAAGTGGTCCCAGAGCTATTGGTTCACCTGATGACCCTTATTACGACCCTTACGAAGATCCCAGTTACAGCTTTTCGGTTAGGACTAGAACTTACAACAGGGATGAAAATGCTAATAGGTAAAAGTATACAGTAGAGCCAGACATAGTTTAACAGGTCGTCCATTGTTTACGTAAGGAGTATTTGACAATTTTCTGACTCCCTTCTTCTGGTAAGATGTTCTAAGATTTACCTCAACCTCCGCCCCATATCCCTAACCTCACGTGAGATTTTACAATTTCTTTATACGAATGCGTTGGATATACTAAGTGACATATAAATCCGAACACCCAGTTTAAATGGTTTTATTTTAATGAAAGTTGGTAAATGTATTTATCTTACTGTAAATAACAAGTGAAAAAATTTTCAGCCTTATCAGTTGGACATTCCGGTTTTTATACTGTTTTTTTTTAATTCACTAACTCTCTAAAAATGAATATTTCAGCCGCAGTAAAGAATCAACGTTGGCGGATTTTGGTTCTTGACATCCTTTACGATCGGTTACGATGCCTAGAGTACGGAGACCTGTTCGATTTCGTCAACTTAGTGAGTTTGATAGGGGCCGTATAGTGGGACTTCGGGAAGCTGGACTTTCTTTTCGGGCAATTGCAGTTAGAGCGCAAAGAAGTGTAGACACTGTGGTTAGGTGTTGTCAGGCATGGCTTCGAGAAGGCCGTACGCAAAGAGCAAGGGGCACTGGACGCCGCCGTAGAACAACAGACCGTGAAGATCGCCGCCTAAGATTATTGGCCTTAAGGGACCGTTTCTCCACTACCAGGTCCATTGCAAATGAATGGTTTGCAGAACAAGGAAGACCTATTGGCATCCGAAGTGTTTACCGACGAATGAGAAGTTTTGGCTTGTTTTCATACCGGCCACACTGGGTCCTCCCTTTAACTCGAGAACACCGACGTAATCGCCTTGAGTGGTGCAGACAACGGTCACTCTGGGATCAGGAATGGAACAGTATTGTCTTTAGTGACGAGTCTCGATTTTGTTTAGGCATGCACGATGGTCGTGCCAGGGTTAGAAGGCGACGTGGTGAAAGGAGGAATACACAGTTTTTTGTTGAAAGACATGTTCATCACACTGTTGGAGTTATGGTTTGGGGTGCTATAGCTTATGGTTCCAGGTCACCTTTAATCTTCATCAGAGGTAACATGAACGCGCAGCGTTATATCCACGAAGTTCTAGAACCCCATCTTTTACCCTATCTTGACACCCTGGCAGATCCAACTTTCCAACAAGATAATGCCCGACCACATGTTGCAAGAGTCACAACATAATGATGTCACATTGTTACCATGGCCACCAAGATCTCCCGACTTATCCCCAATTGTGCACGTGTGGGATATGATGGGTAGGAGATTGCTCAATTTGCAACGTCCTCCTCAGACTCTAGAAGCACTTCGAGAGGAGTTGGTGGTTGCCTGGAATGAGATACCAGAGGAGGACATTGACCACCTGATCAGAAGCATGCCTAGGCTCGTTGGAGAATGCGTAGCACATCAGGGTGCATCCACACATTATTAAAGGTCAAAGGGCTTTAAAGCAGTGCAATCATTTTGAATTTTTTATCATTTACTTATTATGCTTCATTAAGTACTTATACAAAATTTTATTAAAATAAAACCATTCAAACTGGGTGTTCGGATTTATATGTCACTTAGTATATGTTGCTGAATATTGCGAACTGTAAAAGCCATTCCACGGCTACTGGTATTCAATGTATTTCAAAATATAATTTTTTGCTTTTCTATTGTAGAGTAGGTGACGTAAATGGTAGATATTCCTATATTGATGATGTAGGGGAAAGACACAATGTAGAATTTGTAGCAGGAAAAAATACGGGTTTCCATGTAAAGACTCCTTTTCCTGACTCAAATCCAAGGGCTTATGGCCCTCTATATTTCAACGGAAGAGGAAAGCCCATACCAAGAGGGAGGACTTCTATACAAAGAGGAGTAGATGGAAGTTACAGGTAAAAATATCGCACGCGAGGCTTTTGACTATCAGGGTGTTCCTTAATGATATGCGAATATTTAAGGATGTGAATCTACATGAAAAATTAATGTTAGTTTGCTTCATAAACTATGGTCCAAAAATGTTTCCTTACAAAAACTCGGGGTGTTGAAGTTTCAGTAAAAAAATGGAAATTAATTAATATTTTCAGAACCACTTCAGATATTTCAATGATATTTAGTACATAGTGAAAGTTAATAAAGTTGATTATTTTTCAATGCAAAAATAATTTTTAGCTGTAACAGTGGCGTGTGTACCGGTATTGACTTTGATATTTTTTAAGAAAAAAAGGTACGCCAAATAAAAATATTTTTTTAATTTCTCGTTCAATTTTAAACAAATGATCTATCTTGAGTTGTTTTCTTTCGATGCGCCATTATTGAGTAAAAAATAAAAACCCTTCTATTGTCTAACTTGCAAAATTATTATTAATTTAATTGGAAAAATTAAGCACATTAGGGGTAATGAACAACAACTGACAACATAAAAACATATGCATGCTTCCGCCCTCCTTCTCATGGAATTGCGCACTAGTTGAATTATCCCTGGAGTGTTTGTTATTCACACAAGCTGCAACAATTCTTTCTCTATTCCTCTACAGTGTTAATGGGACTTGTGTACACTAGTGTACCAGAAATGTAAACTGTTGAGGTCTGGGGACCTTGGTGGCCATTCTTAGGGCCCACCACGGCCAATCCAATAATTTGGATAAACAGTTTGTAAATAAACTTGCTCAAATATACAGGGTGATACATTTGAAATTTTTGAGAAAAACTACAATTTGCGTTTTTGATCAGATAAAAACTGAGGTGTATAAGTTTTTTTTGATACAAAATTCAGTAATCCAAATTTCAAAATGGCGGACTGAGGGGTTGCCGAAGTGGGGGGTTTTTCTAGACAAAACACCTTATATCTCAGTAGCTAATTACCAAAACCCCATAGTACGTAATATCAATTTATCCGAATATGCAATAAAATTTAAGGCATTCCATTTTAAAAATAACAACTTTGATATGTAGGTCGAAATTGGGACACCCTCTATAATGGCCAATATTATATAAATGTGCCCTCAAATCTCATGTATAACATCCCATAAATAGAATTCCCCAAAATGTATTTGTTTATGAGTAATATTCCGTCCACACATGGATGGGCGACCCTGTATATATGGTATATTACATAAAAATAACTACAGTTGATTAAGGCGAAAAAATAAAAAAAAAGGCCGTATTGGTTGTACCTATAAAATAGTAAAGATTACAACACTTGACGCAAACATTGTTTTAGGTTCGTTTCAGCTGGTCCCGACCAAAGAAGGACCGAAGTGAGCGACTCTACGGGTCACGTAAGGGGTTCTTACACTTACCTCGACGATAAAGGTGTCCAACACTCGGTACATTATATCGCTGGTCCTGAGACAGGATACAGGATCCTCAAACAGGTCAAGGGACCTCATCTACCTACTGTGTTTCCTTTTGGAAGACCTGATATAATCCCTCCAGATTTTTATGATTATGACAAAGATTACAAAGATGTGTTTGATACAGCAGCTAGTGGGCATGTAAGGCCTGGGCAAAGGAAAAAGGGTAGACCTATAGGAGGTAAGATGATTCGACACCACGCTATTGGCAAAGAAGGTGAAACCAAAGATTCTGAAACTGTTCTTAGATTTTCTGTGCGACTATTGCTTGCTGAGATAACTGCAGTAGAACAAATTGATCATTATTAATTTATAAGTTGGATATCTCCGCAAATGATTGACGTAGGGAAAAGTAAAAAAAAGGAATGAAAAAAATCACCTGCTACTCCGATTGCATAAGAACTGTGGGTATAAACATTTTTGGTTGGAAAGATCGGAAAACTACAATATTGAATCTTCAAAATGCTTTTTTCTATTTCGATACGGCCATTTATACGGAAAAACAGCCATTCAAATATCAGCCACAAAGGGAACGTTCCTTGCTTCCTTATTTTTTGTACCAATCTGCCCGTTAATCTTTTATCTTTCTATAACTTATAAGTACCGCTCTGATTTTGATAGTAATACATCAAGGACGAAATATTTGTATGGATTTTGAAAATTGATTGGCGGGCAATAAACGGTTAAATAAAAATCGGTAAAACTCTTATTGTCTTTATAGAGACTCCAACTCATTTTTCAGAAAATTTTTTGAAGGGCTGAAAATTATATTGGGGATTATAGAGGCTGAGAGGTTGTAAATGTTGCATCGCTGGTATCACTGGAAGAGGTTCTACGAGTTTAAGACGCCTCTGATGTCGGAAATTCTATGCATCTGTTAGACATAATACTTACATGTTTGTAGTTTTGCCTTTATAACAAAAATACAGGGTGTTTCAGTTTATTGTTGCATAACTTTAAGATTCGATAGAACTTTTAAAATTAATGCATAAAGTCTATATAAACATGGGTCGAAAAATGCGTGGCTTCCGAAATACAGGGTGTTTAAATTTACTTTCTAAAATAGTTTTTTTTTAAATATTTCGAACAATATTTGATGTATAACAGTGAAAATTGGTATACAAGGGCTTTTTGGTACGACACAACGAACCATGGGCATAGTTTTACTGTAGCCGCTAGAGGGCGCTCTCTACGGGACCTGTAGTATATTAAAATGACCGAACATTTTTTCTTAGTGCAATTTTTTGCTTTTTGAATAAAAATAACGATTCTTCGCACTTTTCAACATAAAAAAGCTCTCTTGTGAATTTCCGTTATAGTTAGCCGTTATGAGATATTTCGATTTTTAAGGTTCGATGCATTTTTAATTATTTATGATAAATTAACGTTAAAAAGTCAGTATCTCGATAATTTTAAGAAGTAGGCTGTACGTGCAAATATTTTTGAAATTGAAAGCAGAATAAGGTTAATCGTCAATTAGTTGACAGTTAGTTTTGTTGTCTGTTGAAACCTGAAACGTTTTTTAGCAATTGTGAATGCACGAAATGGTTTTGGAAATCTCCAAAGGGATCAAAACATGAATGTTCGTCAGCGCCGATTTACCCGTATGATTCTGCGCACAAGTGTTAGGACAGTTTCTGGTGCCTTGCGAATTTCAGCAAGCCATGTTCACCGTTTTTTTAGAAATGACCATAGACGTCCTTACCATTTGCAACCTGTGCAAGGACAACTGCCAGGGGATGGAGAACGAAGAATCACATTTTGTCAGTGGATTCTTGATAGAACTGATAATAATAGGGAGTTTTTAAGTAACGTTTTATGGACCGATATGTCATGCTTCACTACACGTGGAGTGGTAAATTTTCATAATCAACATATTTGGTCGCATGAAAATCCCCATGCAGTTCGGGAAAGAAATTTTCAGCATGAATTTAGTGTGAACGTGTGGATTGGTATCTACCGTAATCGACTATTTGGACCCTACCTTTTGGCTGCAAGGTTACATGCTGCGACCTTCTTGGAATTTTTAAAGGCTGAGCATGCAAATATGTGGGATGATGTTATGTTAGATTTAAGAAGATTGACCTGGTTCCAGCTTGATGGTTGTCCAGCTCATTATTCGAGAATAGTTAGAAACTGGCTGGACGAAAATTATCCAGAAAGATGGATCGGTCGTGGAGGACCAGTCGCCTGGCCTCCACGATCCCCTGACCTAAATTCATTAGTTTTCTTTGTGTGGGGATTTCTAAAAGAAAAAGTGTACCAGACTCCCGTAACCACAAGAGATATGCTAATAGACAGAATCAGGAATGCATGTGATGAAATAAGGCCTTATTTGAATAATGCGTTCGATCATTCGTAGATGTGAATTGTGCATTGAACAATTGGGTTTACATTTCGAGCAACTATTTTAGATTTTGTATGTTTGTCCTAACTATCGAATAGCATTTTAGTTGTAAATAATTAATTTAATTTGTTAAAAATAATATTGGAAAATGATCATCTTAATTACTTGTAATTCCCAAATCGAAAATGTAAAAAAAATATGATTTTCCCATAAATAATTAAAAATGCATCGAACCTTAAAAATCGAAATATCTCAAAAACGGCTAACTATAACGAAAATTCACGAGAGAGCTTTTTTATGTTGAAAAGTGCGAATAATCAGTTTTTTTATTCAAAAAGCAAAAAATTGCACTAAGAAAAATTTTTCGGTCATTTTAATACACTACAGGTACAGCGCCCCCTAGCGGCTACAGTAAAACTATGCCCATGGTTCGTTTTGTTGTACCAAAAAACCCTTGTATACCAATTTTCACTGTTATACATCAAATATTGTTCGAAATATTTTAAAAAAACTATTTTAGAAAGTAAATTTAAACACCCTGTATTTCGGAAGCCACGCATTTTTCGACCCATGTTTATATAGACTTTATGCATTAATTTTGAATGTTCTATCGAATCTTAAAGTTATGCAACAATAAACTGAAACACCCTGTATAATGAATTGCTATAAATTAGGATGCAGATGGTTTTGAGCAGACTTGCACCTTTCTTTTATTGAAATACTGAACAGTAGTCAAAAAGTTTGTTGGAGGGGTCAACATTTGTACATCTCAATCTGTTTCGATGCTTTTTACTTTGATGTTCACGTTCCTACAGTTCTTATGCTTAAAAATGTATTTATTTTAAGTAGTTTTATTTTCTTAAATAACTTCTGGATAATATAATTTGACGATGTCGTTAAGGTCGCATGTCCCTTTTTCTTTGACTGCCTGATTAGAGCAGTATTCTAATTCCTTTTCATTTGATTATTTCATGGTGTGTATAGAGATGACTAAAAAACAATGTCACCAATTTTTTGTTAAAAAAATGCATTGTTATGCGTTTTATTGTGCATTTTTTCATCAGCCGTAGATTGTTAACAAATATTAGTACAGCTCTGAAATTGTACGTCAAAATTTCGCCTTTATAGAGTAGTGTTGATCGGGTGGTTACTTTTATCCTTATCGATTTTTCTCTTAGAAAAACCTTTGATTTTCTTGAAGCCTCATTTAGTAGCAAGCAGTTTTCAAGAAAAGCATGGATTTTTTTGAAGAGAAAAAGTGATAAGAAAAAAGTAATCACCTGCCCAAGTGGAATATTTACATACAATTTTAGAGCTGTACTATTATTTGTTAACTTGTTACAATTGAAGAGAAAATGCATAAAAAATGCACAGCAGACTGTTGAAAAAAATGCGACCTTGAAGAACAGTTCAAGTCATCAGGGATGTCATACTGTCTTATGTTATACTGATTTTCAAAAGATAATCTACTTTGAATCTTTTTTTAGGCGACAAAACAGACACCCCAGCTTACGACGATAACGAGGTCGATGACAAACCACCATCTGAGGATAAGCCACAATTTGGCGATAAGCCACGATTCGGTGATAAGCCACGTATCGGCGATAAGCCTCGTTTTGGTGCTAAGCCAAACAAACCTTCATTTGATGACGACGGAGATGAAGACTCTGGTGATTTTGGTGATCTATTTGGAGGAAGTAGCACCGCTTCACCAAGACCTGGTGGAGACAGGGGTGGGGGTTACAAACCAAGCACTTCTAAACCAGCTGAAACTGGTTCCAAAGAAGATGGTTCTTACAAACCATCTGGAGATGATGGATCGTATAAACCTAGCTCAACAACCCCAAGACCTGGAGGTTCTAGTACTCCCATACCTGAGGGGGCAGGAGGTGGTTACCCTTCAGGACCAAAACCTTCACCTAGCTATGAAGATGGAGTTGGTTCCAATGGTGGCGATTTTGGTCTATTCGGAAGTGAGACCAACCACCCTAAGCCTCCAAAGCCATATGGAGGTGGTCCAAGCATCTCTTTGAGACCTTATGATGGAAGGTGTCCCAAATGCGATGATACGATCATTACGAACCTTGGAGATAGTTATTTCCAGGTACCTCCAGGGGTGTCGGTTAGAGCTCATGTTCAAGCTATAGATTTGGTGCCTCTTACTCCTAAGGTATGTGTTAGTTTTAGATAGATTTTCACAAAAAACAAGTTTTCGTCCAGGTAAAAGATACTCAGAGCTTTTTGAAAGTTTTCTTATAGGAAACCTGCTTGTGCTTCTAAGAATCATAAAATGTGGTCGGTCTTATCGCCAGATTGACAGGTCTTTGCACCCAATAAGATTTCTAGGTCATAGTTACACAAGTCTTTTTGAAAATTTTCTTATACAGTTATGTTTATAACATGCTTAGTGACAGAAAAAAGACCCTCAGTAATAATGGATTTAAGGTCATCTTTATCCTTTTTTAAAGTTTCCCAAGACGGATTCTTTATACTCGGTCGATAAGCAGTAATATAACTTGGATTTTCAGTACCAGATCAAATGCCAATTGTAGCTACCTAACTTTATTGTAAGACCAGACGATACCACACAAACCACTTTATCGATAAATACTAAGTGACGTATAAATCCGAACACCCAGTTTAAATGGTTTTATTTTAATAAAATTATGTATAAGAACTTAATGAAGCATAATAAGTAAATGATAAAAATTTGCACTGCTTTAAAGCCCTTTGACCTTTAATAATGTGTGGATGCACCCTGATGTGCTACGCATTCTCCAACGCGCCTAGTCATGCTTCTGATCAGGTGGTCAAAGTCCTCCTGTGGTATCTCATTCCAGGCAACCACCAACTCCTCTCGAAGTGCTTCTAGAGTCTGAGGAGGACGTTGCAAATTGAGCAATCTCCTACCCATCATATCCCACACGTGCTCAATTGGGGATAAGTCGAGAGATCTTGGTGGCCATGGTAACAATGTGACATCATTATGTTGAAAGAAGTATATTGTGACTCTTGCAACATGTGGTCGGGCATTATCTTGTTGGAAAGTTGGATCTGCCAGGGTGTCAAGATAGGGTAAAAGATGGGGTTCTAGAACTTCGTGGATATAACGCTGCGCGTTCATGTTACCTCTGATGAAGATTAAAGGTGACCTGGGACCATAAGCTATAGCACCCCAAACCATAACTCCAACAGTGTGATGAACATGTCTTTCAACAAAAAACTGTGGATTCCTCCTTTCACCACGTCGCCTTCTAACCCTGGCACGACCATCGTGCATGCCTAAACAAAATCGAGACTCGTCACTAAAGACAATACTGTTCCATTCCTGATCCCAGAGTGACCGTTGTCTGCACCACTCAAGGCGATTACGTCGGTGTACTCGAGTTAAAGGGAGGACCCAGTGTGACCGGTATGAAAACAAGCCAAAACTTCTCATTCGACGGTAAACACTTCGCATGCCAATAGGTCTTCCGTGTTCTGCAAGCCATTCATTTGCAATGGACCTGGTAGTGGAGAAACGGTCCCTTAAGGCCAATAATCTTAGGCGGCGATCTTCACGGTCTGTTGTTCTACGGCGGCGTCCGGTGCCCCTTGCTCTTTGCGTACGGCCTTCTCGAAGCCATGCCTGACAACACCTAACCACAGTGTCTACACTTCTTTGCGCTCTAACTGCAATTGCCCGAAAAGAAAGTCCAGCTTCCCGAAGTCCCACTATACGGCCCCTATCAAACTCACTAAGTTGACGAAATCGTACAGGTCTCCGTACTCTAGGCATCGTAACCGATCGTAAAGGATGTCAAGAACCAAAATCCGCCAACGTTGATTCTTTACTGCGGCTGAAATATTCATTTTTAGAGCGTTAGTGAATTAAAAAAAAGCAGTATAAAAACCGGAATGTCCAACTGATAAGGCTGAACATTTTTTCACTTGTTATTTACAGTAAGATAAATACATTCACCAACTTTTATTAAAATAAAACCATTTAAACTGGGTGTTCGGATTTATATGTCACTTAGTATAGTTGAAAAGCTGACGGTTTTTTGTCTCAACCTAAATAAACACATACCTTGAAAATCTTTGTAATACATACATTATTACTGAGTGTTCTTTTTTCTGTGTCATTCAGCATACAAGAATAGAGGTATATTTAAGCTGATATCGTAACTCATTACCAACCCTTAATTTTCATTTACAGGTACCCTCACCGAGTGAACAATACAGAGTCGATCTCTCGCGAAGCAGAGAACAACTAAACGCACCAGAAGACAGCATAGTTAAAAGAGATGAGCCTGATAGTTATACTTCCTCGACAACAGAAAATATCCAGACAACCACAGTTATAACAACTACTTTATCGAATAATGACAATTCTACTGTCACATCGTGAATAAAAAAATAAAATCTCAGCCACAATATTTACCTTTTATAATGTACAGTGTTATTATTTGGTCATTACATATAACGGGCAATGCGTACCTAGAGGATGTACAAAAAAATAAAAAACCTAATCCCATATTCAACTGCCAGTAAAGCTATGCTTACAATAACTGAATTGGTGTTTGTCTTATACAAATCAAAATACGCATCAAGTAAAGGAACTACTTAATTTAAATCTACAATCTATTCTATAATCTAATTTTATTCATTTTTACTTCTGAAACAAAGTATGAAACCGGCACGATTCAAGCAGAAAAATTGTAGATAGTTCAGCTAAAATTAATTCGATCTTAAATAACATATTTCAACACTCTTGAATTTTGTGTATTAGATTACCCAAGTTGTTGTTTATGAATATATTTATTGTTTAAAATGAATAATAAAAAATAAATTGCGTAAGAATCGTCAACTGGTTTTTCTTGACCTTGAACATCATCTGAGATGATCCAATTACGTATATGTAACAAATTGTGATTCAGGAAATTGATATTTTTCAAACACGCACTCAGTGTGTTTGTTCCTTCGATTCTGTGAGGTCAAACTTAAATGCAAGAAACATGGCTAGATTTATTTTGGTAAGTTCATAGTTAGTATCAAAATATTTCTTTAGTGAGGGTGTGAGACTAAACAGCATAGGACTAATTTTTGGAATCACACTGTCTAGTTAGTCTCTAGTTATGGTATATTAGTAGTCACAGTATTCAAGGTACACATAACGATTACATAATAATATGAATATCACTGGACAACAAATTTTAGTTTTTTAATTGTATCTTGTGGGAAAAGTGCACTTCTTTGTTAATTTTGGGGCGCTGAATCCAAAAATGACAATGAAATAAAAAAATTAGTTGCGGTTTAGAAAAAAACTTTTTATTTTTAAGGACATCTTAAAAAAGTTACAAGATTCATATACTTATAAGAATCACTATATGCGCTGTCTTTTTGCTGTTCTTTTATGGATCGGTTCTGGAGCATCTCTCCAAGAGTCCAACAGTAGTCTGCAAGCATGGAAGGATTCCACTTTCCCTGGTACCTTTTTTCCATTGTTGAAATATCCTGATGAAAACGTTCGCCGTGCTCATCACTTACGGCTCCGCAATTGTCAGGAAAAAAGTCCAGGTGTGAGTGTAGGAAATGTATCTTAAGAGACATATTACAGCCCATCTTTTGATACGATGACAGCATATTTTTGACAAGGGTTTTATAGTTGTCATCTTTTCTATTTCCCAAGAAATTAGTGACCACCAGACGGTAATCATTCCAAGCAGTTTTTTCAATACCTGTTAAAGTGTTTTCATACTGTGTATCTTTCAAAATATTTCGAATCTGTGGCCCAACAAAAATACCTTCTTTAACCTTTGCCTTACTTAGTCTTGGAAATTTCTGACGCAGGTATTGAAAAGCTGGCCCATCTCTATCTAATGCCTTGACAAAGTTTTTCATTAGGCCCAACTTGATATGCAGTGGTGGTATAAAGTGGCGGTATAAAATCAGGATCTCTTGACGTTGATGGCATATCTTTTCCTGACGAATCACTCGATCGCCTTTATCTGATTCGTTTTCTGATTCGCAAGTGTAGGATTCTGGAGGTTTTGGAATTGGATTTTCCTCACTGTGAGGCACAGGTCTCATCGCAGATGGTATGTTTGGGTATTTAATAACCGATTTTTTTTTCATGCACATACCTGTGGCTTGTCCAACACAAGGTACCATGCAAAAGTAACAATCATTAATATGATTTGTAGGCTCTCTCCAAACCATTGAGACAGCAAAGCGCATAGACCGTTTTTTGCCATTTAACCAGCTCCTCAGACTTGAAGCACATATATTACAGCAGATGTGGGGTGCCCACTGTTTGTCTTGATCACCTAGTTTACAACCGAAATAAAGCTGATATGCCTTTGTTATTAGTGGAGTAATAGACCGTCTCTGAGACGCAAAAGTCACATCACCACACACGTAACAAAACTGATCTGGATTGTTTACACACTTTCGAGACATCTTGCATGAACGCTGTCAGCCAACTGAGGAAAAAATGGCTAATATAAAACAATATAATGTACACGTATGTATAACGTAACACAATCATGCCGATTACATCATCTTTCCTTGCCGAATATAAAAATGTAGCACGTGCATTCTTGTGAATTACAGTATATTAACACTGTCACAGCAGGAACACATATAATTAGCGTATCTCTAAAACTTGAACTAATATTGAAAAAATAAGTTTCATTCCGGTTTTAGCACATTAAAAATAGTAATATTTTGTAGATTTTATTTAGGATATTTTTTGGCTGTTGATCAGCGATATTAGTCTTTTCTTCAATACCCGTATCAATATTGTCGATGGGTTGTGACATCAAACCGATAATGGGTTGCACCCAATCTGTCAGAAAACGAGTTTTTTTCCATAAATCAGATACGCAGCGATCTTTGGCAGCCCTTTGGCGTATAAGGGGGCGGGGGTGTAATAGGCCTTTTCACTTTTTGAAATCTCACCCAGTGACTGTTTTATTGAATCACAAGTCGTGACTAAAAATGAAACATCATACACAGGATCGCATTTTAAGCGGGGTCTTCTATGTAACATTTTTTCCTAGAGGGCTTCAAATAGATACGAGGTGCTGAAGTTTAAAAATAAAAAACAATTGTTTTAATATCTTCAAAACCGTCAACTGGAGTAAACTAAAATTTAATATGGGGATTTATCTACGTATTATCCACATGTAAAAGTCTTTACGTGAAATTAACGTGCACCAGTAGTGGAGGTACAGGGGACAAATGGCATTATTGTTCCAAATAAAAATAATACGCCACTGTTTTTTTTTTCGAAACGCGCAGTTTTCCGAAATTTACCTTCAAATTGCTACAAATAGTTACTCTTGTGTTTTTCTCCTAGAGTGCATTGTTTTCGTAATAATAAAAAAAAATAAATTAGTAAAAACCTTGACGTCTGTTAGGAAATGTACGTTGTTATTCCCGAGAAGCCGCTAAAGCATTTACAGAATCCGTACACAAAAATAATATCGGCGTATTCATCATTGTTAAATTCCACTTCGCAACACTCACAAATGGAAAAAGGAAAAATTTGACTTGACCTTTACAAAAAAAAATGGTAGTAGTAACGGGAACAACCGTATAACACATAACTTTGACGAAACATCTCCCAAGAAACGTCAAGTTGGTATCAAAGCCTCCTTTTTTATTTTGAAAGTAATAGTAACTTGGCTCTTCAAGAATGATCTAATGTGTTTTATTTTTATTTTTACGAAAACAGTGCCCTCTAGGAAAAAACACAGAAGTAATTATTTGTAGCAAATTGAAGGTAAAATTCGAAGAATTGCGCATTATCGAAAAAAACAGCGGCGTACAATTTTTATTTGGAAAAATAGTACCACTAATCCCTTGTAACACCGCCATTGGTGCAAGTGAATCTTAAATACAGGCTTTTGCACGTGGAAAATACTTAAATCCACGTACCAAATTTTAGTTCATTCCAGTTGATGGTTCTAAAGATATTAAAAAAAATGTTTTTCATTTTTAATCTTCTTTATGTTATTAATGAAGCCCTCGAGGAAAAAACGTTACATAGAAGACCCCCCTTAAAATGCGGTCCTGTGTATGATGTTTCATTTTCGGTCACGACTTGTAAATCACCCTGTATATTATTCGTTTTTGCATCTGCATTTTTAGTTTTGCTTGTACCAAATTAAAGGTCTTCGAAGCGAGCATGGAAAACCATTTTTTTCAAATCTCTTTGGCGAAGAATTCTATATTTTTACGATTGATTGATCGAGTTTTTATTATTTTTTTAGGAAAATCTATATTGACCCACTTTGTGAAAGTATATCTACGAATTTTTCATCAATTTTAAGTGGTAGTTAGGGTTAAAGAAATTCAAAATCTATTTTTCGCTATTTTTTGATGATTCTTCAGAACAAACTTCCAATTATATCATTTTTATTCTGCTGAAGAATAGAGGTTCAACAAATTTTTGGATTGAAAATATTTAAAATGAACAATAATAGTTTCATTAAAAAATACAGGCAAATTTAAAAAAAAATTCTGCTTCATCTTAAATCTTCCCAACCCAAAAGTTATTTATAAGCATTGTTCTTCAGAAAAATAAAAAGAGTTTTCTCCTTTAATAATGTCTAAAAATAGCAAAAAATAGACTTTGAATTTTTTCACTCCCTGTCACTCCCAAAGATACTAAAGGGTTGTCCAATAGGGACGCAGGAAAGTAAACGTCAATTTGACATAGACGCCATCTTTGTTTTCTGTCACCGACATGTCATTTTGTTAGTTGAATGTTTACCATTGATCGCTATGGAGTCGTATTCGATTGAAGACCGCATTAAAGTTATTCAAGAGCACTACAAAAATGGTGCAAAAATAAATGTTTCGCGCGCTTCGTGAACATTTCGGTCGCAACAACAGCCCAAACGAGACAACCAGCGGTCGTCTGGTGCGTAAATTCGAGGCAACAGGTTCTGTGGCAAATCTGCCAGGCTCTGGCCGGCCAAGGAGCGTTCACACACCGCTGTTGTGAAGGAGAGTGTGAGAGACGATCCGAAACAATCAACAACGCGTCGATCCCAAGAATTGGGCATTTCGAGAACCAGTTTGCTCCGCATTCTCCACAAGGATTTGAATGTACACGCCTACAAGATCCAATTGACGCAAGAGCTGCGTCGGGCCGACCATTTTTCGTGTCGAACGTTGTCAGATTGGCTCCTTGAACACCGCCAAATTGATGCCAATTTTTCATCAAAAATCATGTTCAGCGACGAAGCGCATTTCACTTTGAATGGGACATTAAACAAGCAAAACTGCCGCATCTGGGCGAACGAAAATCCCCGTGAGTATCAAGAGCAGCCGATGCATCCTAAAAAAGTGATTGTGTGGTGTGCATTGTGGTCAAAAGGCATCATCGGACCTTACTTTTTCGAAAATGCGGCCGGGGACGCCGTTACCGTCAATTCTGAGCGATAACACGTGATGATAGAGGACTATTTTTTGTCGCAACTTGAAGGAATGGATATGGACAATGTTTATTTCCAACAAGACGGTACAACATGCCACACAACCAACGTCAATATCCATCGATTGCAGTCCTTCTTCGGTGATCGCGTGATTTCGCGCAGAGGAAATGTGTCATGGCTACCAAGATCGTGCGATTTGACTCCCTTGGACTTCTTTTTATGGTTTTATGCCAGCCACCCTCCAAGAACTCAAAAACAACATCATTGCCGAGATAAATGCCATAGAACCGACCATGTTGCAAAATGTCATTGAAAATTTCGACCATCGCGTGGACGTCTGTAAATCCAGTCGTGGTGAACATTTGAGCGATATTATTTTTCATACATAAATGGTATAAATGAACCTTCAAAATAAAGTACCCAACTTGATTTGAATATCAATCTTTCTTGTTTTAATATGCGTTTACTTTCCTGCGTCCGTTTTGGACAACCCCATATGAAAAAAATCATTTTTTTATTACAACGTGGCTCAACAAGCCTTGTTATAAAAATATTAAGTATTTTGAGAATTTCCCGTCAAAGAGTTT